CAAACATGTCCTGCTGCTTTGTTTTTCTTTTTTAACTTTTGGAGTTTTTCTAACCTTAACCCAGTTTTCTTAAGAGGCTTTAGAATCTGCCAGATTGTAGGAAGGTTTTTCCTGTGACTTGCCTGGTTAAAGAAAAGAGTTGCATTTCTGTAACACAGTGCAATAGGCTGTTTGGGTGTAAAGTACGTGACTTTACCTCCTCCTGCAAAGATTATGTTTGCGTCAAAACATAAACTTTCCTCAGAAAAAGATTCCCCCACTGTTTCTCCCACTACAAAGCAGTTGGAGCACAAAGCCAGAGCAACAAAGCTATGTAGGTATAGGTTTTGTGCACTGGATGCTTGTTTAGCAGTAGAGTGAAAGTGCGTGCGGGTCATTCACATACCTTCTGCAGGTGTCCCTCCCACATCTGCACCTCGCCAGTCAGCGTCTCCTTGAGTCTCTTAAAGGCAGATTCGTGCCTCTCATTCTCCGGGACCCTCCGGTTGTACATAAAAACATCCACTGCAAAATATCAGAACAGACATTTCATGAAGATATTCACTGTCTAAGGATTTAAAGCTTTGAGAAAAAAGAAAGTTTCCACACATTGCACAGCATCCACTTCCATATTTTGTATTTTTGGTATGCCTGTGCATTGCTGTGTAACATCAGGCTGTAGGCTGTAAATGCTTGCTGTGATAAACGAAGATTAACATCCTGTTGTGAGGGTTACTCCCAAGGAAATTGTTTGGTGAACGCATGAAGTATCAGTGGTTTAAAGGTGACAGGTTCGTGCGTGATGTTGCCAATCATTGACTCAAAATCCCAAAAGGCAGATCTTTTAATGGCAGCAACAACAGCTAAGTCATGTAGAGAGTGAACATGTCCCACTAAAACCTCACTAAATGTAATTTGGGGGATCGGACGTGAAAGTGCAGGAACTCAACAGTTATGTCTTTGTGGTTCAAAACCAGAGAGAAGATTTAAGCTAACATACCCATTTTCTGGTGAAGCGTGTTACCCTCAAAGGTACGCTGGAGCACCAGGGCTTTCTCGCTGGAGTTCACAGGGATCAGTTTGGTTCCCTGGGACATGTACTCACACTGTTGGTCGGGACAGGAAAACAGTAAGTGTTATAAAGAGCAGCAAAAAGCTCTGGTTTCTTTTACTCTGCAGTGTAGGGTGCATGTCCAAACAATCATGGTAAACCTAGTAATCCCTCAACTTGACCTCCAACAACCTATCTCCTTGACAACAAGGCAGTACCTTGCTCGAGTTCTCACCTCCAGGAAGAAGCATGCACCGTAGGACTCGTTGATGATTTTGTCCCCACATTTGAAGGCAGGAAGCTTTAAGACAAAGTGGAAAAAAATATGAATAGATTCAACTTCAAGCATTCAAAGTCCAGATTGAAACTTGTGATGCAAGCCTACCTGTCCCCTGGGGTTTACATCCATGACTTCCTTTGACTTGTGCTCTCCTTTCTCGAAGGACAGCAGTTTTTGGTTGTATCCCTGCAGTTTCTTCTCCTCCAGAGCGATCATTACCCGCCAGCATGGGGGAGAGCCAGAGCCCCACCAGATAGTCATGTCCTTGGCCATAATTTCAGAGTGAACAGCTTAGTATGGCAGCTGAAATTACTGAAGGTTAGAGATAAGAAGACTGAAGCCACAACAGCTGAAACAGTCTCGTTTTATAGCAAAACTCCAGCCCTCCACATCCGGATTGGTGGATTTAAGTCCCGTCCCATTTTGGTCTTCTGACAAGAGATCTCTTACCCTCTTACATTACAACCCCACAGTTTATATGACATGATAATGAAAGTCAGAGATTTCTGCAGCAGCACAGTTAAATTTATTGACTGTGATTTAATCTAAAGCTGCTCGTATTCACAGGTGTGCAAAACTGTCATTTTTATGTTGAAAAACTTTTGGAAATGCAAACAAAACAATTCACCTTCAGATCAAATCAAGTGCACAGAGTAAAGTGACACTGGGCGCTTTGCTGCCGTGCTCCCGTGCAGTTCGTTCGGATGTCATCATTCCTGCACGTTACTTGTGTCTGTGCTTCATTAATATGGTCGCATGTCAACAGTCACAACCTTGGTATCCATCTAATGTGCATATGTTAAACCCTTAAAGATCGTCCTTTATGCATTCATATATTCTTACAAGTAATGCTGTTGATTTGTTGAAACTCACGGTGACTCAGCACTTTGTTTTCACCCCCTGTACACACATGCACACAATGCACACAATGCACACACGATTCTGGCACGTCTCTCACGTCCATCAATCACATTAGTTCTGAATGTGTCTAATATCAACTATTTTATGTATCTTTGTACTTACTTAATTTCATCTAGCACTAAAATATACACAATATAATACTAGTTGCTTTGTGCTTCATTCTGTAAGCCTTTGAATTCTTGTCAAAGTGCACTTGAACAATTGCCAATGCCAGCATAGCACTGAAGTAAACTGCAGTGGAAACAAACTGCACATTTATTGCGATCACTATCTCTGCTCTTCTGGGTCAGTTTCAGTGGACTGTTTCCTGAGTGAATGATTGCTAGAGGAAAGGCAAAACTCGTTGTTTTTACTGAAGTCCCTTTGTCCAAGTAACACACACACACACACACAGCTGCAGCCCTGCAATATTATTACGTGCAAGTTTCAACAGTAATAGGCTGCATCGGGATTTCTCTACACCTAAAAGGAAAGAAAATGCATATGCTGAGAATTTAATTTGAAAATGTGCTTTCCTGTGTTTCCGTTAATTCAGTATTTTCATTTTGCAGACGTAGCATGACACACTCCTTTTTTGAGCAAGCGTATATTCAGACGGACCATGCAGCAATGTTTCAAACAAGTCAGAATTGTTGTGGGTTCCCAACACACATACTCAGAAACAATTGTGCTTTTTGGTCTTTGTACTCTCCTTGTTCCTGTTGGTCACCTCCATACTCCATTCAGCCTGTTTTAAACTGCTGCCAGCTCTCCTTCTCATTGTAAGCCCGCTTCCGTCTGGTCCTGGTGTGCTACTGAATAAATAATGGAGGCAGGTTAGACAATGTGTAACAGGTGTCTCACACAGCCTCTATCCCATAGCCTTGCAGCCTGAATCACCTGCTCTCTCCCTCTTCAAACAGCTGAGCCAAAAAAACACACCCCACCGAAAGACAACCAAATGGGCCTATGAGGTTTTAAACTGTGATCACAGCAAACTTGGTGGACAGATTTGGACACCTCATCCAAATAATATTGCAAATAAATTTTCAAACTGAGCTGATGGCGCAAAAGGACAAGAAACAAGTCCCAAAGTTCTAACATCCAGAAGATTCAGGAAGCAGACCAGATAAAATGGCCAAGCCAGTGGGAGTCACTTTGCACAAGATGTTCTTTTAGGACCGACTAATTATGTAGGATCAGTAATTGTTTACAAAGCTGATTCATACAAACTTATTTTAACTTGAAGTGGTCAAAGTGGTCAAATTAAAGGACACTCACTGATCCTTAATAAGGAGAATGTGCATTTAACATAGCAGTGGAAATTCACAAATGACATAAAAAGGATTAATGCAAAGTGCCTCATGTATGCAACCTCATGCTGTCACGGACCATTTGAGTTACCTTTGTGCAGAAAAAGTGGTTGCACCACACCCAATAGATAAAGGACTCTTTTGATACGATGACCTTTCATTGCGCTTTATTTGTTTAAGCTTGTAAATGAGGGGGTGTCCGTAACCCGAAGGTCGCCGGTTCGATCCCCGAGCTCTCTGTCCTGGTTGTTGTGTCCTTGGGCAAGACACTTTACCCTACCGCCTACTGGTGTTGGCCAGAGGGGCCGATGGCGCGATATGGCAGCCTCGCTTCTGTCAGTCTGCCCCAGGGCAGCTGTGGCTACAACCGTAGCTTGCCTCCACCAGTGTGTGAATGCGAGAGTGAATGAATAGTGGCATTGTAAAGCGCTTTGGGTGCCTTGAAAAGCCTATATAAATCCAATCCATTATTAAATCCATTATTGTAAATACTATAAAAAGGAATTTTACTATAAAGTTAGGCTATTCAAGCTTTTCTGCTGAAGCAAGCCTGTTTATATTTTAGCAGCACAACACCACTGAAATTATCGTAGCTTTAGTAACAATAACTTCAACAATCACTAGAGGGTTATATAGATTTTTTTGATCAGCTGAAGGCATAATAGTGTTATTGCACATGAATGCCTATAATGTAGGCATTAATATGCATTCATATCAAAAGAGTGGGTGAGAAAAGAAATTACTATGAATTCTACTGCAAAATGAATGCAAAAGCAGTTTCTGCACCACTGCAATGTAAGCAAAGGCCCGCCCACCCCAACGAAAAATCTGATGGCTTTGCCACTGCTCTGATTGTGACACGGCAGCATAATTATAGAAATGTTTTCGGAAACATGATTGTGCAATATTTTCAGAGAAAACAAAGCAAAAAGTTTAATTTAAAGTTTCGGCTTATTGATCTCTCCTGTCAAGACTACACGGCACTAATGTGAGTGGTACTCTCGTTAAAAATAGCATCAAAACTTTAAATTTACATTGACGGGTCAGGTTTGACGCCAAAGGTCAAATTTTATTGGTGGAAATTTAACTTGAAAATAATGAAGCAAACAAAAATAAAACTTCGTTTTTATTGCTTTTACTCACAGCACAACAGAAATAAGATGACATGTTCAGTAACAAAAGTAACAAATGTTCAAATGTCCACTGCAGAGCAGCACAGGGACTGGTAACAAATTAAAAACGCAACAGGAAAAATGTGCTCGCCAGCTGATGAGTTTGTCAGTCTCAGATATCTTTGAAAATTTCCTGTCCTGGAGTCTCCTTCCAAGTAGGAGGCCAGGTGGCTTTGACGCTTGGTCTGCCCTGCAGCTTTTTGTAGTATTCGGCCAGTTTGGGGTATTTATCCTCGCTTAGCCTGCAAGAAAGACAAAAGTTGGTGTGAGTTTGTTGCTGTTTGATATTCAATCCAGGCAGCTACAAGTCAGTTTTGCAAATTTAGCTTACTTACCCCATGTGTAAGAGAAGAGCAACACTTGGAAAAACAATCACATCAGCCATGGAGAAGTTCTCTCCTGCCAGGAAACCGCCTGGTGTCTGAAAAAAAGAAGACAAAGAAAAAAAGATTTTGGATGGAAGCTAAAAAAAATTTTTTTAAATAGTTGGTGAAACTTGGCTTACTAATTCTTCTACATATATTGTCTCCTTAACAGCAGCTGCTGAGCATATCTCAACAAAAGACTTCAGACAATCAGCTCGTCATCATCCAAGTACTGTGCATCAGCCAACTGTCAACATTTGGTGCTTGTTTTTTTGACTTACCTCTATTTCCTCTTGAGGCAGTCTGGCCACTATTGTAAATAGGAAGGTTTTGCCAATGACTTGCTTAGTTAAATAAACATTACACTGACTTCCTGCACAATCTTGTACTGTGAGTTGGTGTTTTCAGGAACGTAAACATCAAATGTTCAACATCAATTGATATCTCTGTCAATAGATGTTTTGAACATTTTTTCCCTTTAAATCATTATAATGAGTCAAAATACCGAGGGAATGAAAAGAAAAGAAAAGACAAAGTGCTTTTACATGGTAGCACCCATTACATCCAACAGCTTATAACTTCCTGCTAGGGTTATTGCCTGTTTCTGCAGCTTTGTAGCTGTCGTGCTCTGGGTGCTTGTGAGTGCATGCGCGTCATACCTTCTTCAGGTATCCCTCCCACATCTGCACCTCAGTAGTCAGCGTCTCCTTGAGTCTCTCAAAGGCAGATTCGTGCCTCTCATTCTCCGGGACCTTCCAGTTGTACATAAAAACCTCCGCTGCAAAATATCAGAACAGACAATTACTGTCTAACATCAGGCTGAAGACTATAAAAAGGTACCCAAATAACATCTATAGCAGCTTATTTAAAAATGAGTGTTCATGTTAAGCAAATGTGTCATTTTGGTTACATGGGATTTTCTGGTGTCATTTCGACACTGTCTCAGGAATGTACTTGCGAAGCTAATTTGAGCACAGATTAACATCCCAGCATGTTGTGAGGGTTACTCCCCAGAGAAATAATGCATTATGTAACACTCTTAAGTGAAGGCACAGCTCTTTTGTGTGTTGCACGTGTTTTGAACACCTCGGACCACGTCGGTGAAAGTTGATGTCAAAGCCTCTGAGCAGGTTTGCTGAAGACATGAAGTCTCAGCGGGTTAAAGATTACAGGTTTGTGCGTGATGTTGCCAAGCATTGTTTAAAATCCCAAAAGGCAAATCTCTGAATAGCAACAACAACAGCTAAGTTATACAGAAAGAACTTTATAAGATTTTCTTTATAAACTCTGTAAATCCCCTGGTTTCAGTGTCCACATCAGCATACAGGGATATCGAGCTCAACAGGTATGTTCAGAAGGCCATGACAGAGTTAACATACCCATTTTCTGGTGAAGTGTGTTGCCCTCAAACACACGCTGCATTATTAAAGCTATCAAAGCGCAATTGTTGTCGGAGCCGGCGCAGTCAGGAATCAGCTTGGTTCCCTGGGACTTGAACTTGGACTGAAAACAACACATGAAAGCGCACGGAAACACATGAAACGAGCAACTGTTCTGAGGTGCAGTGCACCCTGCGGTG